TTAGCTCAAACAGACCCCCCAATAGGAGAGCAAGACAGCAGTTTGTTGGGAGCAGCCAGCTTGTTGTTTAATGAGTGTAACATGCAGGCATACAGACCCAACAACACAGAGACAGACACACAGACCCAACAACACAGAGAGCCTGATGGACAGAGACAGACACACAGACCCAACAACACAGAGAGCCTGATGGACAGAGACAGACACATAGACCCAACAACACAGAGAACCTGATGGACAGAGACAGACACACAGACCCAACAACACAGAGAGCCTGATGGACAGAGACAGACACATAGACCCAACAACACAGAGAGCCTGATGGACAGAGACAGACACACAGACCCAACAACACAGAGAGCCTGATGGACAGAGACAGACACACACCCAAAATCACAGAGAGTCCGATGGACAGAGACAGACTGCACTCTCTCTTCACCCATAATTAAGAAGCAGGTTTTCTGATCACCAGTATCAACTTAGAGGAACAAGGTGGCAGAGATGGTGGAGTGATACCACGACAATGACCACACCCAGAATATCCGAATAACAAAGGGGGAGGCATGTGACTCAGTGGGCTAAGCCTCTGTGCCTGTGATCGGAAGGTTGCTGATTCAAGCCCGGCTTTGCCACATTAGTCACGTCTGTGGGCCCTTGAGCACGACCCTCATCCCCTGGGCGGCACCGGCACCGTGGCAGGTGGCTGCCCGTTTCTTCCAAGCTTGCTCTCACCTACATGTGTGTCAAGAAGAGTAAGATGGGGGAGGCAGAAAGAGAATTCCCCTATGGGGAACTATGAAAGTGAAAGAATTCTCCAGTGGAAACTGTCTGCAGTTTCAGGATCCTCTGCCTTCAGATCTGAGTGGGGCTGATGTGGACAAAGGACACTGGATCAATCCTCATGAAAGCATGTTACTGCCTGTAGTCCCTGAGTCAGTTAAGCCAGTGAAGGATATACAAGGTCACACTTACCAGCTTTAATTTATCAGCTGCAATACCACTGAAAGTGTCCTTACCAGCAGTTTTACAGTATAGTATAGTAGACAGAAGACTGCACTAAAATATCATTCATAAACAGGATATACCTCAATTGCTGCTGGAACTAAGCACAAAATATATCATTGGACACAAGGTACCCCAGGCTCAAGTTGTTCTAACTCTTGGTGTCTGATAGGTGAATTGGTGAATTTAGTATTCAGTAACAGAATACTGAATACTAAATTCAACAATACTGTAGGACCTTGTAACTCGAATGTCTCTTAATGCGACCAGCGGACGTCAAACAGGCCTGTCCAATTTTTTTCGATTTGTACCTCGACCGATATCCTGGTACTCAACCGCTCCTGCTAAAACTTTTATAGGTCGAGATGCGAACGGGTCAGTCAGAAAAACATCTAGCCACCCAAAAACTCGGAAGACGACAAAACAAAACAGACCTGATAAAACTTGCATGGCTCGAGGTGCGTCTCCCCTTCCAAACAATAACCTCACCATCCCTCTTCCTCTCCACCTGCCACTTCCAGTATGCCATCAGCTCACCTCAATACAGGTAAAGTGCACATATTGATTGTTAATGCTTTTTAATCATTAGGTAGGTAGATAGGTTTAAACAGACAATTCTTTGGGGGTATGGAGCAGATGAAAATCATTTATATTATTTCTTACGGAGAAATTCGACTTGGACCTTGACCAAATCGCAACTCGACCAGCCTTCTGGAACGAATTAAGTTCATGTTCCAAGGTACCACTGTAGTTCCTTCCCTAAGCCATTCACATCATTAATAGATAATTCTGGATAACAGCAATAGTACTTGCAGCAGCAATTTATGTGAATCATAATGTCATTTATTTCATTTTAATGGTCTTTCAGATGGGTGTAGTTACATTCCAATGCACTTGAACGACATGGTCAATCAAACATTTTTGTGCATAAATTGTGTAGCAGTCTCCAATCTAGATAAAACTGATATGAAACATGCCATCATCATTGGTTGGTCTTCCTATCTAAATGGGCACCATCCATTCATTTCTATGGAAAAAACCCGAATCCCAATCACGACATCCTTAACCCATCCTACCCATCCCTAACCTTAACCATAAGTAATCAACCCAAATACAAGACTTTTGGCATTTTTACTTTTTTGATTGCATTCACAGATTTTTTATAAAACTGAGGTTATCCAAATGGGGACCTCAAAAGATGTCCCCAAAAGTAGGGAAATGTCAGGTTTTACTACACTTTAGGGACAATTTGGTCTATGTGATCTATGCAAACCCACACACACCTGTCATCATATCTTTGTGGGTTCCGCTCATTCATTTATATGGGAAAATTGCTAATGCTAACTATGACAACCTCAACTCCTACCCAGTCCTAACCAAACTGGTCCCCATAAGGTAAAAAAAAATATTTATCACGTTGTGGGGACATATTCTCTGCCCTCCCACACTCACCTGTCAGTCAGCAAGTCAGTAAAACGGTAGCATCACGAACTCTCTTAAACTGTATGCTGTTTATAACACATACTGTACTGATCCCATCTCACTCACTTTTTAATTCATTCACAGAGCTCATCCTACCTCTCTCTCTCTCTCTGACAGTGTGATGGGCTGTGATGCACACCTCATAGTCACACATACATACAGGAAACCCGCATGCAGACACCATGTGACATATATCTTGCATAGTACTACTTGTGTTACACCTTAATCCGCTGTATTGCCCAAGCACAAAAGATACATACATGTATACTTGTCAATAACACTCTCTTACTGTGTGGATCTGAAGTAGAGCACATTTCCTTTTGAGGTGGAAACATTTCAAGATGCTATCAGTTGGCATTCTCTCCCACACATACTTATTGCTACTATTGTGTCATTGGGTTGGTCACAACTATCATATAGCAGTAAAGAACTGAGTGGAAACTGGAGCACATCATTAAATGGAGAACAGTTCAAACACCAGGCCTGTAACGGTTCCTACCCTCTACCTACTGTGACCACACAAATACAGTGCAACATAATGAAGCACATATAGTTTTAATCCATGCATATTTCAATAGGGTGGTTTCACAATAACATTATACTTCTAAACTGATTAAAATCACTTAAACGCTAATCGGTCAGTAGATAGAGTGTGGCTACATTTGTTGTACATGAAAATGCTGTTTTGCTGTCCAACATCAGCTATAGGTAGATGAGGAACCCAACAAACCGACATGAACATCTCCATCGCAGCCCCACAGCTAATCATTTCTCTTTGTTGGCTTAGACCTCGCCTGCGGCCTTGCTGCAGGTCGCTGCATTGCACCAAGCCAGATTGAGGGGGGGCAGGTGGGCAGATGCTGGCAGACTGGCAAGCACAGTGGTGCCAGAGCAAATGGGGCTATATGCAGGCATGTCATATCATGCCCTGCACCCCTCACCCGCCTGTGTCACATTAACGAGCTGTTCCAGGCTACAGCAGCTAGCCTGAGGCTAAACGGTGAAGCGGATTGACAGCAGTGAAGGAACTGCCATGGGACATTGAAGGATGTCCTAACATATGCACAACCTTTCAACCCCCTTTCAATTTCCTCCCTTGCAGGGTGAGGGCATGGGATTCTTAGGAGTCAAGTGAACTAGGAATTTAAGAGCAAATTTTAAAAACTCAGTCCATTTTCTTGTTGTTTTTGAGAAGAGCCATTGACCTAAAGTCAGGCTTCCACATCGTATGTTACAGTATTCAAGACCAAAACTGATTCAGTCCAACAAGGAACTTCCATTAAATTTCCAAGACTTGCTAAATCCACAGAATTTCTCCTGAATAACTGCGAATGAGTTTTGTAAATTTGCTCTTCAATTATTTGTGCTCATTCAATCCACCTGTCTTTTATTCATGACTAAAAGTACAAATTGATGTCTTTAATTCTGTCTCGTGAAGACCCAGACAGGACATTCTGGAAGACATCAAATATGAACGCAAGAGGGGTATTTGAAGACTGAATTTCATTGTACAATAAACGCATGACCCCATTAGCTAATACCTATAATCTGGAAACGGGAAGATACCGTTTTATTCTGCACACCATTCCTATATTGTATGGTTCACAGTCCCAACGGGAACAATTTTCACACCTCCACTACTCTCCACACAGGACATGCTCTCTCTCCACAGCCTGGTTTCACCCTCTTTGCCTTCTGTGGGCATTTTATTCTGCAACAGCCCAACACATCCTGCTCTCACACACTTCTACAGACCAAGACGCTGGCATCCACACTAAAACCTCTTCCCATCCCATAAACCCGTTTAATACATATGCTCTCACAATCTATGGTGCTTTTGAGAAGAACTGAAAGGGCTGAAATGGAAGCAGGCAGTGAGGCTGGAAGAGAGAGAGAGCACATAAACAGGAAACAGACTGTATAGCTGGTCAGATATTAAAGGCCAGTGCTGTACAGAAAAGCCTTTTGTTTCACACCAAGAATGAATCCTGTTGCATGTCTCATACTCAAGATCAGAAAACCACATTCAGCATTCACATACAGCGTTATGATATAAAAAAATATAGTTTCTGAACGAGCATCTTAGAACACATTTAATTGTATATAAAACATTCAAATAGAAAAAAAATGTTTTAAGATTTTAATAATTACTGTAATTTGTAAATACTGTATACTTTTCAAATAACCCTTTTCTTCAGGAAAAGAGAGCTATTGTTTTTATTCAACCAGCAGATGAATCAATCAACGCAATCAAAGATACTACACCTCATCCACAGGTAATAAAGAAGACTCTACCCTTAAATGCACGTAATAAAATAGCACAATTCAATAATTGATGTAATATCCAGACACAAATACAGAAATGGAAAAAATATATATGTATGTAATATATATATATATGTATAATATATATATATATGTATAATATATATATATATATATATATATATATAGAGAGAGAGAGAGAGAGAGAGAGAGAGAGAGAGAAAGAGAAAGCATATGGTGTTTTGTCTTACCTTGCAGGCTAAACAGCGATGGTCTGCAATCAGCTCCCTCTCCAACCTCAGCAGCACCTTGAGTCTTCCTCCTGCTTCCCTGATTCTCCTTATTCTTCTTAGAGGAATAGATTGCAGCCTCTGTGCGATATTGATGGTGTACCAACAGAAAAACACGCCCTCTCTGAGCCGCTCTCGCTTCCTCCCTCCTTCACTCTGATTCGCTGATGGCCAGTGGTGACGTCACTCCTCTCTCCTGCTGCTCCTCATTACCTCTTGGCCCCACCCCTCCCAGCTCCCTCACCACCTTATTAGGACTCTGCAGACAGTATTTCTGCTTGACTGGAATAACACGATAAGCATCAGGTCTTGTTATTGCAGAACCTTCATGACGATCCAGCACACATTCATTTTTCTATCCATCATGCATATGCATACACATACACACACACACACACACACAGGTACAAATGTATTTTATAATGTGTGTGTTTGCATGCGCGTGTGTTTGTTCATGATGGATACAAACATGAATGCACGCTGCATCATCATAAATGTTCTGCAATATATACAAACATATTGACATGCGATATTTAACAAATCTGCAATTATTTTCTACTCAGATATTTCTGAAGTGTCAATTTTTTAGGCTCAGTCTTGTTCTTTACATTTTCACATAAATTGCTATTGTAGTCACTGGCTCCCAATGGGATGCTAGACACAAATGTTTGGTGCTTTATGTTATTGCAAAGGTATCACTAATTTAAAAGTACCCAATGAGACTGCTTGTCAATGAATTCTGTACTTCAGAATAGCTTTTGGGTTTTAATTTATTGCTGTGTGTTATGTGTGTGTGAATATATGTATGTGTGTATATGTGCGTATGTATATATATATATATATATATATTTTTTTTTTTTCTCTCTCTCTCACACACACACACTTACTTCTAAATATCAAGCCTCTTAAAAGTTCTCTCTAATATTAGACTTTTAGAACATATAATTTACAAAATATACTCCTGAGACCCCACCCATTCATTAATGTTCAATGTAGTGGACATTTTGTTTTTGAATCTATCTTTTCACTGATTTAAGGAAATATATGTATTCCTGTTGTACACTAAAGAGGACATGCTGTGAAATTAAAAACAAAAATACATTTGAAAAAATCTAAATAGTAAGATGTCTTATTTCCTCCAAAGACGAATAACCTACAATTGAAGGACACTTTTTTCCTTGGGACTCGGTAGGATATAGTTGCAGAAGTGCAAGTCATAAATGCATCTGCAAAATTGAATTTGGTAACTAGCAAATTAAGCTTTCAGCAGATTACTGAAGTTTTCTTTAGGGTGAGAGCATTGTTTCACTGCACAACGCCTTGTATTTGCAGGCAGTTGCAGTTAAGATATCCACTGACTAATGTTTACAAAAATGCAGAGGAAGCACGTGCTCATAGTGCAGTGAGAACGACATGGCTTTGTGGTGCATGCACTGGACTGGAGACCCACCAGCCTCACTGCTTCTCTCACCCTCGTCACAGATGCTCTGGTTCGGAGGACTGCTTGTGGATTAATTAGCAAAGAACAACAGTCTGTCCCAGATGTTCATAATGCATGGAGGAAGTGTCAGGCACTGGGTCAGATTCCCAGCATGCAGAACCGTGGCTGCAGTGGCTGCATGGCCGATGACCTCCTCCAGGTCCCTGTGAGACAAACAGTGTGTTCTCCTGGCCGCGGACGACGCACAGCTCTCGAGACACTAAAACCTGGCCAGCGGCCATTTCAGCTGAGAAATAAGCCTGGAAACAAAACAGGGAACTTCATTATTAAAAAAGGACATAAATAGACACTCAGGGAAGGAAAGGAAAAGCCCATGGGGTCTCCTGTGCACATATTAGGTGAGGACAGGAGTCTGTGTGAATATTCAGTGGTTCATAATTCTGCATCATCACTTAGAAAAAGATACAAAATACCTAATATTGGTTGATAGAGGGACATTGCCCTCACTCCAGAGTTGCATATCTTCCTCCACTGACTTGTGTCCTGCCTCCAGAGTTGCATATCTACCTCATTAGCAAGTTAAATTAAATTCCTGAGAAATGTAATCAGCCAGTGTCTCATTCCAGCCTTTTATTCCTCTTGTATTTCTTTGCTGTTAGTCTAACTCTCTTTCTATAGAGTGGTGTAATAGATATAATTCATTTACACCTGAAGGGAGTTTAGCATAGGCGGGTCGATCGGGATGCTACCGCAGTGCTCTCTCAGTGATGTTCCGTATCTCCCACCAGAACCTCTGCCGCCTTTGTCCTCTGCTTGCTTCCCATTGCATCTGCTCCAGGTCCATCTCCATTCAGCAGTCAAGCCTTTTATCTCATTTAACGTAGCTTAATGCTCCCCGATTAGTGCCTTCCTTTTTCCAAACCACACCCATCATAATCACAGCAATTTTTTTTCTCAACAAGCAGTCTCTCAGCTATGGATTTCATTGGTCTGCTGGTAACACTTTACTTGAGGGGGCATTAATACTTCAGTAGTAATTCAGTTACTACTGAAGTACAAATCATGAGCAAATAGAGTAGCTACTTCACATAAAAGATGAGTCGTATCAACGGTATTTCACTTGTGTTATTCGTGACTTGCTCCTTCAGTAGTTCACAAAGGTTTATAACATAAATAGTAACAAATATAATAACTGTTTAGGATTTTATATGGATCACAATTAATTGATGATGAACAAACATGAGTTTATGGTTAATTAATACATAAACAGCATAATACTGATTTTGCCCCTTCAAGTACAGCATGATAGGTGTGCCTTCCTTCCTTTCTGTTTTTTCATTCCGACAAGTAATTCCATTTAACAGTGACTCAGCATGGACTAATGGGAACACAGTTTGGACACATCTCAATAATAAATAAGGACAAAGGGCTGGAGCTGGAGAAGGGGGGGGGGGTGTTAGAGAAAGCGACAAAAAAACAAGGAGCAACTGGGGAGGGAAATGCGGAGGGGGGAGAAACATGAAGCAAAGGCAGCAAGCGAAGAGAGTGAGAAATGAAGAATAATAAACAAGAAGGGAAGAGCACAGAGTCAGGAAAGTGCTGACAGCAAGACGGAGCAAGGCAGAGCAAGACGGAGCAAGGCAGAGCAAGGCAGAGCAAGCCAGTCTCGGCGTGGGTCCACACGAAACGAGATGGAGCTCAGCAAGAGGCGAGAGAGGAGGGGAGACAGAGGGTGCCAGTGAACTAGGAACACCTCCACTAGGTATGGTTCTGAGCCTAGCTGAACATCACTGCACAAGACGATCCGATGTGCTGAACAGGGATCCAACCTGCAGGGCAGTGGGTGGTGCTGGGGGGGGATTAAATTAATAGACAAAAGTCTTTATTTGACCTTATGCCTGTGAAGGGAGGCTCTTGGACATCAGTGTGGTGGTAGGGGGGGCGATATGCATTTTTCAGACTGTGCTGAAAACAGTGAGGATGCAACAAAGCCAGAGGTGCTGAGAGAGAGAGAGAGAGAGAGAGAGAGAGAGAGAGACCCAAGCCTATTTTTATCCAACTGATGACATGAACTGCAATAGTGTTCTCAAGGAAGATATGAGGTCTGCCACATTCACAGGGCACTTACATGCAAATATAGCTGGATCGCATTTTCCCACCCAGAGCAGCAGAGGTGTTTAACCCCCCCCCCCCCCCGCATCCATAACCCAGGCAGTGTAAGACACAATGCAGCGTCAAGCACAATGAAATCACACAGTTCACTTCAGCATCAGATGCCCTTAGTGTCATTACACATGTGCTCACATGGGTGGAAGCCGGCATGTGGCCTGACGCCACTAATGAGTCATGCTTTGGCAAAGACATGCTCAGATAAAGTTTTAAATAAAAATTGATATGCATCATTGATAAATGAGCCCACAGTTTCCTCATCTATACAGAAGCATCTGCTCTAGCCAGCAAATGCTAAATAAATTAAACAGGCACCGTGCGGCTTTCAAAGCTGTTCAGAACTGCTGTACGGCATGATTATTTTCTGTAGGTACAATGACACTCCAAACAGACGCGATCCTGTCTACTGAATGATTCCAAGGCTGCCAGACAAGTTAACCAATTAGGAAACTGGTACATTTCTACATCTGCATTTCTGTTAAGCCCCACAGAAAGTGGAAGGGGCGGGGGGGGTGAACTGCGAGTCAGGCAGACAGAAAATAATGTTCTTATTTTATCACAATATATTTTGTGTCATTGCATTAACTCTTTTACTCCCTGCTTGTGAGCGTGTGGGTGGTAGTTGAGGCCTAGCCCACGTGTGGAGTCTTCAACGATAATTCAAAAGTATAATTTCAGACCACCTGGAAAGATTCCCCAGACTGATAAACATTCCCCTTTAACTCCTGAGAACTAAGGAATGTTATATATGCCGTCAGCTATCATGGTTAGCAAACTGATCTTTAACGTTTCTTTGGGTTTTAAAAACTTTATACAAACCAGGAAAAAGGCAGGCAGAGATCAAATACAGAGAACCCTGAATAAAACAGTTAACCACTTTCACAAACTATCATCGAAAATAAAATGATTAAACCAATTACACTAACTAAGCTTTGGCAGTCCCACTGCAGCCTGGTGCCAAAAGTATATTGAACCTCACTGCCCTTTGTCAGCTGTCTTCTCTGTCTCTAAAAGTCCTAATACATTGATTTACACAGGGAGCTCAAATGCATCCACAGTTTATTAAGCTAATAGCTCTCTGGCAGTTCTGCATCACTTCTGCTACATTACTGAATGAAGCTCAGGGAAGGTATTAAAAGTGTTCCCCGTGTCTACTTGTATTTTACATTATTCACCCGTTTTAAATCTTTTTCATTGGTAAAGCCCCCCTACCCCACAAAAATAAATGTAAGCAATTTGTATGGAAAATAGAAATTGCAACAATGTACTTTTGGAAGCCATGGATATAAACACTGCTAGTGACATTCTTCATTCAACAACTGTGCCTAATTATTGATTGGTTTTGTCAAATATGTACCCATTAGACACATTACCATAGTGCTCCTTAGAGGATATTTTACAGAATGCTAATTAAAAAATTAGTGAGGGTCAAACAAAGCAGCCTAACAATTTCTATCCTTTTTTCTATGCATTTCCAGTACAGTCGACCCTTCTGCATTATGACTTTTCCCATCGTAGT